GTGATCCTAGCTGCCGAGCGAGGCTTCGTGCTGACTGTACCCAATATATTGCAAGATGATGTCACCATAAGTGACGCTGTAATAATCTTCCTCAAGGAGACCCGTCTTATCGGCATGTTGTGAATGACACACGCATGAACTCTTTTTATATTTATAATATGTATGTAACCATGCCCTAAAGCAAATAAAAATGAATAAAACAAAAATTTAAACATACAACATGAGAGACACATCACAAACCTTTCCATTACATACAACACGCACATTTATCAAATAAAACTGACACCCACCAACACATATTCAAACAAAAAGACACGGGCTAAAAAAAAAAAAAAAAAAATCACAGAGAAACTAGTCACGTGACCGGCCATTTCATCTGGTCTGTCAGTAACTCACTATCATATCACTCACTCATACCATAATTCATCCCAAATAAAACAACAAGAAGAAAGAAGAAACCAAAATACCAAGAACAAGAAGAACACAAGAATAACAAGAAAAGAAGAACACAAGAATAACAAGAAAAGAAGAAACAAGAACATCAGATTAGTTGTAGCAATAAAGAAGACCAAAACTAGAAGAAGAAACCTCACGAAGAAAGAAGACATCAGCTCCGGCCGAAATAGCCTTAAGGCGAAGTGGCCAGCAATCCCCAATACCACCATACGAGAGAGTCACTTTTCTGACGCTCCCTCGTCGTATCTCAAGTATTTAACGAGTGCCTCATCCCTGCCATGTTAAGTGAATTTAATTAACTCAGTTGATCTTTGTTGAATATCAGTGTTCATGTTTTAATATAGTTGAAAGTCTCATGTACCAAGTAAGAATTAGCAAACATCATGTGTGTCGATGCCATGCTTCTTCCTTGCCAGGCATACGTGATTATTTGTAATTGAGTTTAGCCTTTTCTGGCGCTCCCTCATCGTATCTCAGGCACTGTGTGGGTTGCCGGAACCTGCCGGGAGGTAGTGGCCAGTTGCTAGGAGGATATCTGACGACTGAGGCCTTTAAGTGTTAATAAGTGGTAATAAATAATATTGAATTGTGGACAAGCCAGTCCTTGTTGTGTGTCACTGTCAATAGAATGTTACCAGAAACCTGTAGTACTTTTCACTGAAGATTGGTCCTGTTAACGTGAAGATTTGTGGCTAACGTACAAGTGAGACCAAGTGGTCTTTGTAGTTTGTCTCAGTGTAACGCAAAATTGGCCAAGTTTTAAGTGAACCTCAAGGGGTGATTCATAGGTACATGTTAGGATTAAGTGTCCAGTATTCAACTTAATTTTAAATAAACTGTCTTTATTGTATGTTGGGGTACCATTATCCCTGCAGTATTTTACCTTTGTTTCTCCAAAAACCTTGGTACCAGTAATTACAGTAAACTCACGTGTCCTAACTCTCGACCCATGCTACCACAGATAAGAGTTAGGTGGTATCTATGAGAAGAAGAATAACTAAGAAATAGCTTACATAAGTAATTTATAAAGTTAGAAATTGAGAGAAAGAAAGTTTGAAGAGAACCAATTAAGAAATAAAGAAAAGTAGAGAAGAAGGTAGAAAAAAGGAGAAAATTAAATGTAATTACAAAGCCTTCCTTATAAATTAGTTCACAATAGTGGGATAGATAAAATTTAAAAGAAATCCCCTATAGATGTATATCAACGCAAAAATGTTGGGTAAAAGATACCAATATTGCTGAAAAGGTGAAATAGTCACATAGTCCACACCAGTCAGTTTACATGACATATTTCTGTTGGAGACAATGTTCCCGACACAAGTGTTACCAACAATTTCACGCAATATTCACAATATTTTTTATAACACATGATACCGCCAATGCTGCGTCGGTGTTGATCCACCTTTAAAGTGCCGTAAATCAAGTAAATTTTTCCCCTGCTGCACATAGTCACAGCCTATAGTTGGACCAGCCCTCCAGGGCTGACAGACTAGGCAACTTTTAACTACGTCTCGTGATGAAAAGTTACCACCCTGTGATTAGAAATAAAATTGGTAATTTTTATAGAGCTAACACACAGAGGATTTGACCTTTCTTCTATGAAGTTATTTTTTTAACCTTCAACGCAAATAATACTGTATCAGTGCTTCAAGTATTAGAGCTTCGCTGGTCTCACTCAAAAAATAACTTTGTGGCCGATCTCTTTCCGAAAATTTTGTGTTCGAGGCTGATTATAGTTTTAAAAAACTGCTGTAAAATGGATATAACCGGCCGTATCATGACCGCATTTCTTAAGCCAAAAATAAGCTGATAACGAGTAAAGAAAAACCTTTTTACAAATTCGACTAAAAGTTTCTGACCCACGAAATCTCAGATTCGACCCATCTTGACCCACTCCCGACTCGGGTAGGTCAGCCTTGTGACAAGTGATCAACCTTGACCCACCCCCTAGCGACCCGCTGTCCCGTTTTCCACTCTGCCTCATATGCTACACTCATGAAATATTTTTATGGATTTTGTACATTCATGGTAGAAAAAAAAGGATAATTGTCAAAATAATGATAACAACAGCCACATAACTACGACTGAGAATAAGGACAGGGTTGGTTAGTTGCCATAAGACTGTTGGTTATCGCAGAAGTCTCCGATAGACAATAGAATTAATTTGGGGTGAAATTCAGTTTAGGTTCATTAAACTGTTATTTTTCTACGAACCTTTCATTGGTACGATTAACTTAGTGTCATAAATAATATCGCGGAGAGAGAAGGCAACTGTGAAAGGCAGGTACAGTTGGTATCCTGGACGTGTGGACAACATTACCAGGATCACACTGTAGGGAAGATGTTATTGACATTTATTATTTACACAAAAATGCATGGACCGCACAAAACGAAAATCGCAGTGCCTGGATCACCAAGACTAGTATAAAATCTGCAGTAAGGTATTAAATGTAGGGAATGTAACCTTCAGCTGCAGACGTCCTGGAGAGGGGAGGCGAGGGTGTATGAACGAGATACTTGAGGGAGTATCCCCTGGAGGGAGGGCGGCCGAGCACACATACTCAGTTGCCTGTGGTTCCCTCACAGGGCTCCTCATCCGCCGCAGTGCACCGACACACACGTTATTCAGCTCAGTGTAGGACTATCACAAAGGTGATAGTGAGACCGTGTTATATATAGCAAGGACAAGATACAGCTGGCCAAGAAAGAAGGCACTGTCATAGTTGAGAGGAGTTAGTGTTGCAGTCACTTGCCCACAACACCACCACCGTCATCAGCTTCTCCCGAACGAGACGGCCACCAAGCAACTTCAAGTTAATACTGTTGAAAGAGGAGTTCTCGTTCGTATTAATTTGTTAACCGTGAGGTCCATAAAAACACTACGGCTGTGAAGATTACAATCATGACACAACATAATGTGTGGGTGTTGGGTGTGACTTTGTGTGTAGTAGTGGGCGTGGTGGTAGTATCCCATACTTTTTCACCACTTGTTTTAAGATGATGGAACCACAGTAGGTGTTATAACAAAAAAAATAACTTTAAGGTTAGTTTGGTTATGCTGAGATAAGTTAAGTCGAGTCGTGACAAACAGTTAGGAGAGATCCTGGATACAATATGTTTAGTGAAGAGTGACGGTAGGAAGGAATTAACCACTGATTTTGTTATGGTAACAAGTGCTGAATCATTACCACTGTTTTCCACAAAAACCTAATGTTTCATAAAACATAGTTTCCTCTGTATTACGTTGTGTTTATTAACATTTTAAACGAAAAAAAATTACCAAAGGTTCAGCTAAAATTATAATATGCATATGTAACCGTTGTGAAAACATGAGTGAAGGTACCGGTACCTACAGTATTCGCTAGATCCTATTGTACGCCTAATAAGATTTTTTTTTTATGGGGATTAGCCCACCCGGGCACAGGTCACTGACCCACATCGGGGCCTGGGGGACGAAAATTTAAAAATAATAGTAATTCATAGTAAATAAAATTTATAATAAAAAGTAAAATAAAATAATAATAATAATAATAATAATAATAATAATAACACTGTAATAATGATAATAAAGAAAAGAAAAACAATAATCACTAGTGAGAAATGCTATATGTATAGTATGTTGTGTTGTCAATAGTAAGAGAAACAATTGAGATCCTGCAATTGTGTGTAAATGAGGAAGAAAGTCAGATCAGCAACCTGGGACTTGGTCACAATATTCGTGATGTCATATGGCAGCAGGGTCTACCATTAGACAACACATTATGCTTCCAATATCTTCCCAGGCGGTAGTACCTTCCTGTTTGGTAGCTGCCTGCTACCTACTACCTACAAGTGAATATCCTTTTTTAGTTTATAGAGTTTTACGTTTTATTATCACATAGAATAAGGAGGCCATTATCTGACCCACTGTCTCACAACACCAAACCTACAGTTATGTAAATGGAGGTTGCTGCATGTAGTACCGAGCACAATGCCTCTTATATGCCAAAAATAGACTTATATTAGTGTGCCGTATCCACACTGTCCCAAATAGGCCATCAGGCTTAAGGGACTCACTATATATATATATTTTGTCTACCTAACCATAATTCCCACAGAAATTGTCATCTTCAGCTTTACCATAAGCAGCTCTGTACCATGGCCATTACCGCCCCTACATGCTATGTATACTTGGAAGGATTCACAGCACCTTGTATAAATTAATCCACATAAAGAAACGGAGACTTACACTTCATCGGTACAGTTTAATGTCCTCAGGCAGTCTATATATGGCTATCCTCACAAATGAAATGAGTATCGAGACCATATTGTTGAAACAGAGATCTCCATCTTTTAATATGGGTTTGATTTACAAAACAAAAATGCACACCAAGCTACTGGAGCAGACCTTATGTAAGTTGATCACATCGCCCACTACTTCATAACTTCACTACGTTAATTCACCACAGGTCCCTCGCAGCTGTAGAGAACACTAAGTTATATCACATATTCAGATAAATACAGTTATTTGAACATTATGTAATTACTGCATGTGCTTAGGTATGTAAATATTGATAATTTAAATTTCCATCTAGACTCAAAAGTGAAGGCGTCATCTCCCCCGCCAGTAGTACAGGACTGTTCGACACTGCACCATGCTGGAGTCAAGGTTAACACACATAATTATGTTCTTAGTAGTGTGTGTGTGTGTGTGTGTGTGTGTGTGACAACAATAAATTATAAGAAGTCAGCCTAAACTTGTTCTCATTCTTATCACTGTTAATTCAAGTCTGGGATCCACACATGTATGTACAGTAGTGTGAGAGGAGTTAAACGCCTCGGTTATCTCATATTATACTACGCCAAACGTACTGTATGTGTCCACATTTGTAGTATAATTTTTTTACGTACTTTCTAGAAATGTAATTTATTATCGTGAAGCTTTTATATTCCTGTGATAAAATTCTGAATTATATAAAAATAACGAGTCAGTCCTGAGAGAGAGGGAGAAAGAGAGTGTGTGTGTAACATGAGATAATGACGCGAGCGTCATATGTTGAGGTGGTGTTTCAGCTAATTGAATGCAAGACCGGGTAATTGATGACATGAACGCCAACCAATTCTGTTCTAAGCAATACGATTGGGTGTTAGTTCAAATGGTCCCAGTCGTAATGGTCAAAAATTAAAATGGACACTAATCTTCATAAATAGGTTAGGTTTGGTTGAGTAGTATTAGAACTGTGGCTTCATCAAGACTCTTGCTGTATCCTCACTGTGCTAAAACGTTCGGTGACATAACATGTTCGTTGTGCGGACAGGGTAGCGGAGTGTACCAGGTGTTCCCCTTCACCTTCCAAGTCTACTGCGAGATGGAGACAAACGGAGGCGGCTGGACCGTCATACAGCGACGGTAACAACTCTTTTTCTCTTGGTTCATCTAGCATGCTCTCATAATTTAAACATTGATGAGCTCTGTGTTAAACGCTCGCCAAGTGATTAATATGACAGTAGGGTTGCCATTTTGTTTATGTTTATTAAGAGGCTGTTAAGATACGAGAGTTTTTTTATCTAGTTATTTGTTTGACATGGGAGGCCGACATTAATGATATCTTCATCTTTTTTACCCGTGCATTAATTACAAACGTACGCGCCTGTACACGTACATATAATCCACACACACACACACACACACACACACAGGCAGCCCCAGGATGTGCAGCAGAACTTCGCTCGGGATTGGGCAGACTACCGACAAGGATTTGGCCAACTGGATGAAGAAATGTGGATAGGCTTGGAGGCACTGCACCAACTCACCTACAGCGCCTCCTACGAGCTCAGGGTGGACATGGTCGACTATCAACTCGGACCCAAATACGCCCATTACAAGGTCTTACATTCAGAATTACTGTTGTTACAACCTTCACACCCTCTTCTAGGACTCACCAGAGGATGTATAGTCAGCCCATAGTTCCAATATATCGGAGAAAAGACTGAAATAAAACAACTTATGTTAACAGAGAGGTTAAATGTTAAACACAGGCCCTTACCTTATTTCTGGCTAACAACCTCTTGACAGCTGACAGGTGTTTATTTCAATACCACTGTTCCCATTAAAACTGGTTTAATCAAAACACAGCTTTAAAATTACAACAAAATATATTAACAACAAAATATAATAAATATGTGCTCTCCGTCCAGGTGCATACAAAAGGCCACAAATCAATTCACTCAGAATAATGTTATCTCCACCAAATGCAGTGCTCTCTCACTACTACAATACTCTTTAGACTATGTGAACATATTACACTTTAGTTAACACCATAATTATCCATGATTGTCCAGATAATAATCGATAAATGTGCACCACACAAGCTTGGCCCTCCTATCCTCCTCAACCTAGCTACAAAGAGTCCCGCCAAAACAATGTTCCAATACTTTCTTGTTTCATCAACATATAATTTCTAATTCTTTTTATACTTCACACCTGCTTCATACAGTCTTTCA